TTGAAATTCATAAAAAAAAGTTCATAATCAGATCTGTCGAAAGCTGTTGGTTAAAAAGAATCTAGAAAGGATCTATTTAGCTTTCCTTTACTTAAATAGCAACTTCCCTTTTTTTTTTGTTTGAAAATAAGTACCTTCTTGATCTGCTATAGGTCATAGACAATTATCCATGGCCACTGCAAGGACACCCTGCATTCGAATAATTTGTCCCTGAGTAGGTGTCATCGAACATCTATTCCTAAATAGGAGTATTTTTTCAAGAAAACTATTTAGAAACAAAGAAACAAAGCAGAAACAAAAAAAAAGATAAAAGGTGCGTGTACTTTCAATCGACAGGAACAGCCAGTTTAGACCCCGACGACATACAAGTTACTTCGTCACAGATATCCAGGCAAAGTCTGCCCTCGCTCGACAAGTTTCGTTGTCTCGATGTACCTAGGCTTGACGAAATCATGATATACGACGAATTTGAATGCACATTTAGATGCCTTCACCATCCTCTGTGTGTTTCCGTGAACCTGGCTGCTGAAGGAGATTTGTGGTGTGAGTTACCGTTGTCTGATAAGTACAGTAACCCCAATGAATACAAAGAAAAAAAGAGTTCATATCACTATTTCTTTTAGATAAGGACTAATTAATCCTTGATTGCATCACTTAAGTTTTACTGTTTCAGGAATGCTCTTGAGAAACAGCAGGAAAATGCAATTGCCAAAAGAGCAATGTTACCTAGGGCACGAAGCGGACTATATGATATGAGGAAGGAATAAAAACCTATTTTTTATCATTCTAGTATCATTATTGGGGCCTTCATTGTGTACGTTATTATTTTGACATAAGAGCCTCATAGATGGTCGACGTCAGGTAGACTCCTGCGCAGCTATGATAAGTCAATACTGAGTGCAGCATGGGTTTCTTTGTCTATAGCTGAGATAAAAGCACAATATCTAACTCCAAATGTCCAGGCTTTCAAATATAGACATGTTTGCTGCTTTGCCAAAAGATACTTAGTTTATTTGCAGAAAACGAAACAGTTTTAATTGTATATCATATTGAAATGATTCTTGTTTCCTTTTAAGCTTTAATTTTGAATAAGAGTCTAGGTATTCTGGATGAGAGGCGTTTCACAAGTCTTATTACAACGTTGCATATCCAGAAGGAGCGAGACTTATAAGACTGGGGGTATGGGTCTTACTAAAACGTTTAAGGAACTTTTATTTTTGCATCAGAGTGCTTGTACAAAAAAACCCTGCAAGAACAACTCCAACTCGGTTTTACCGACAAAGTTATCAGTGTTCGTGTTCCGCTGGATTCAAGGGTCGGACAAGCGATGAACGTAAAATATGTTTGCATATTCTAGGTGTTACGTATGGATGTCAGTATTTCCGTCGGTGAATTAGAAATCCTTGTATGCACTCCACTGATGGAGCTTAGAAGTTAAACAAAGAAATAACTAATAAACTGGCTCGATTGGTTAATTGATTATCACATTCTTTTGTCATAAAGGAGAGACGCACCTCAATGGTATTAAGAGACTGTAACATCTCGGTTTGTGACCTGATACCAGAAACTCTTTGGCAGAAGCCAAAGGTTTACATTTTCTCTTAAAAAAAAAGAACCAAAAAAATAGTTTTGGGTGGTCTTGTATATCCGGAGAATAGAAAAAGCTAATGGGAATGAGCCGAAGGAAGACAAACCAGCAGTGCTGATGCGCCCGCAAGAATGCTATGCATTATTTCAGTCAAATTGAAACCAAGTACTTAACTTTGATATACTCTACATCAATGAGGTTGAATCTTGCAAATATAAACGAGTGTATCGAGGGAACATCCAGTTGTGGTGTTGATGCTGTGTGCAACAATATCAAGGGTTCCTGAAACTGTACCTGCATATATAAACCCCGATATTCTGGAGATGGACAGACTTGCGAAAGGAAACGTGACCAAAGCCCCAACACTAATTGACAAAAAAAGTGAATGGAAACTAAAGAAATAAATTTCAACCCTAAAAATAATAAAATTAGTCACGCGCTCAGGAGTTTTCCCTATTAAATTGGTTGCCTCGAATTTTACAGATGTAAACGAGTGTACTAACAAACTGTAGTGCTAATGCTGTGTGCAATATTGGTATCATCCAGCGAAGCCGCGGAAAACTCTGTATTTTTGAAAGTAATGTACTTTTTAACAAATAGAGAAGCCTTGAATGTGCTCTGTTCTGTTATAAAGTAAGCAGGAAGTGGCTAGAGCACGAAAGAAGTGTAGGGAGACACACGAGACGTAGTCGAGTGTTTCTTACTTTTTTTCCCTACTTTTTGAGTGCTCTAGCCGCTTTCTTAAGTGCTTTATAACAGAACAGAGCACAGTCAAGGCTTCTCTATTTGTTTTATAATAAGGAATCCGTTAAATTACCCAAGCATTACTTTCAATTTTCAAAACAAACTTTATTTCCAAAGCGAACAACAGTGTCGTCAGCATGCTCTATACTCTCATAAAGCACGCTACAATAAGCCAATCAGAATCCCTGTTAGAATGGTTCAAATAATCTGATTGGCTGTACAAGACTAAAGCTGTCAAAAGTGTCAAACCATCAAAGTTCACATTCTACGATAGTTTACAAACTAAAATAGTTCGGCAAGTCGACAAGGTAGAAAACAAACTGTTCAAGGCGAGTGTTTGTTGAATGAAAGACAGCTGAATTCACCGGAACATGAAG